GGGGGGGGCATTCCTACCAGACCTAAAGGGTCTGGCAGCAATTGGGGGGAACCTCCCGCTTTTTTTTCCCCTTCTGCAGACTGTTAAAAAAGTAATTTATTTTTTCCTTTTGTTTAATGTTACTTTGTTGCTACAAAATTTCCTTTGTAACTTCATACGTTCTACCACTAATGAAATTAATGAAAATTCGGATTTTGTCCGCATCCCAAAATAAATTGATTTCACTCCCGAAAAACAAAATAACGAAAAATACGAATGAAAACGAAACTATTTTTTGCTGGCACACATGTCTATCCACCATTCCAGACTGATCTATACATGACTGTGGTTAAGATATACATGTTAAGATAAGACTTTCTTGCAGATAATTTATAATTGTCCACGTTTTTACTGCCCCCCTGACCGCTCATCTAATATGGTGACGGCATGGAATTGTACACATGACGCACCAGATTTTAAGCGGCATGTCACGTTTAGCAGGTGGTGTCACTTGGCAGACGCAACGATTGCAATCAATGGGCTGAAATCACATGCCAACTGCTTGGGAGCGGTATTGCAATACAAAATCCTCATCTCGATCCAAATGATAAAAAAACAGGCATCCATCGGGCGGCAGTATCACCTCCTGAACGCATACAATGCAAGGCATGCCACTAAATAGCGATCCACCACAGATTGCTTTTCAGAGGGCAGTAAAGTCCACTGCTCATGTGAAAAAGCCATAGACGTTTTTTCAGTGTAAAGTAACAACTTGTGACAAAATAACAATTGCTTATTGAGTCCAACTCTGGTCAAAACCTTTTTTTTTTTTAAAGAAATGGGTAGGACCGTATTTTTGTATCATAGAGGAGATTTCCTCTCCCTTTCTATCCTAGTGTGTTTCACTGAAACTGGAAGATCTATGTATAAAAAAGCTGTGCTGTCAAAAGAATTTATTTTTGGCCATAGCGACCAGTGAGAATCATTATTTATTTTTTAATTGTGTGATGCAAACACGACTGATTGGTAGATGGATTTATATGGGCAATATGAGATTTTCTTGTTAACACACATTTCTAACATAACCCCCTAAGTTTATTGATAAAGCCTTGTCCACTCATCTGCAATAGAGCAGGGGCAGTGCTAGTATTATGCTTGTGCTGGAACAGTATGATTCTGATACCAGTGGTGAAGCATTTGGGTCCAGAGTCACATTATTTGCCATTCTTGCATGTCAGATTTTCTTTTGGATCACATGAGTATATTTATTACATGTACACCTGTGACCCAAAGTCAGCATATAGTGCGCTACTGCCCCCTGCTCTTGGCCTCAGAGTTGGCGTGTGAAAGCTGCAGTGTCCCATGTCAACTCTAAACAGTGGGGAGTGCGGTTTGCTCTACCTGCACTTGCCTTTAACATAAGTTATGCTTTGTCTTGAACACCATAGATTAGTAGTGATAGTAATACATGTAATATAAATGAGAGCAAATAATAACTCAAGTTTCAAGCTATTTATACGTTTATTTTTACAACAGTTCACTTTTCTGAGTGAGCTTCATATCAGATCTACAAGGAATGGGAACTTCTCCACTTACTTAGCCTGATATGTATAAGGTATATACACAATTCTACGGGATCTCTGAGAGATGAAATGATATCAATTACTATGAACTCTTCTTAGGACAAAATCAGTGAATAGGGTACTGGAATACCATTGTGTATCCTTAATCGTCCTCGTTTCTCCAGGGCAAAACAAGGATGTACTAGATGTTTAAACTGGCATTCGAAGGTGTATAGGTGCTGATGAATGTTCATGTTGAAAAAGGATAACCTGCCGTTGTCATAATCAAGCAAGATCCCAATCCTGGTTGGTGGTATTGTAATCCGCATGTCTGGGGACACCCCACAGTGCAGGAATTCGTATCTGTGCCTGTTGGGGGATATATTTGAAATCAATAACATTTACAACATTCCACAACAAGGTTTGTCATTCGTTACAAATACTAAACATTATGAGATGATATGTCAAAATGTAGAATTATGCTCCAGTTTTGAGAGAAAAAAACCCTTTCTAGGTCATCTTTTTACATTGCAATGATTTTAGCAAACCTTACTGCAGATTCCCACCTGCTTCTGTTTTGGAAATACAGATGTAGTTCCCACCAGTGAGCTTGCTGTGAGAATGCAAAGTTCAATATAATCACATTAACAGGCCCAGTGCCATAATAACAAATAATGCACCCATTGACATGTCTCTAAAAGAAAATAGTTATAGGAGAAACATAGAGGCTGCCATTGCTGACCACTTCTTCTGAAAATGCTAACCGCCTGGCAGTCATTCTGATCCCATTGCTTCAATATTTTGAGTCACAGATCTCTAACAAGAATGCAAATCTAGACATCTGACTTATCTTCTGGGTCGCTGACAGAAAAAGGACTGAAGTCAGAAGGTCAGCATTCCAGCCAACAACTAGCATTTTCAGAAAGAGACCAACAATGGAAGCACCAACTGTCTTTCTCTTCCTAGGTTTACTTTAAATTTGCTTCAGCTTTTGCAAGTATCTAATCAAAGATGAATGTCCTGGTGCAGACATTCCTGGGGATGCCACATGTCATGCAAAATGACATGGTTCACATTAATGACACCCCAATGTGGTCCCTATCATTTTTGTTGCATCAGGTGGGCAGGGGGGGAAGTGGTGGTATGCTGGTTGAGTGATGCCGCCCTCCACTCAGTGACATCACTGGTTGTCAGAAGCTGGGCAGGATGCCAGCAAGAGCATCCCAGGTTGCTAAGGGCTTTGCAGCCCTTACACATCTCCCCACCCAGCAACCTGGGATGCTCTGGCCAGAAAGGGGGCAGCAGGCACACCCAATGCATTTGCTTATACTTATCTTTTCTCTGCTTCCCCATTGCTCTACTACTATTATGTATCTTGTTCTCCTACCTCCATTGAGAAAGAAGAGAACAAGCCTTTTGTAAGCCATAACTTAAAATTTACAAAGGGCTACGGACTCTGTCCCTGTCCCCATATGCCAGTGCTGGGTTCATCAGTGGTACATGAGAGGAATGGCAGTGAGTCACATGTTCCCCCATAACCAGAAAGTACAGGGTATATTACTTAACTTTCTCAGATGAACAGAGTGGCAGGAAGTAAAGGAAAGGTGAGTATGTACAGCTTGGGTACCCTATATGGGTAAAGTGTAGGTTTCATGGGAGAGGCAAAGGGTGCTTCAGATCTTAGGCCTTGTCTGAAATCTACCGGTGCTGAGAAAGACTGGCTGTTTGGAAGTCCTGCTGTACGGTACATCCTGTTTAATTCAGCAACAAAACCTCCTCTACGCTGAAGCAGGATTCGGCTTCACCTGTGCTCTGTCTGTGACATTTGGTTACATAGTAATATCCAGGAATAGTATCCAGAGTATCATACTATTAGCTATTTCTAAGAGGACCCTATGACCATCATCAGTGATTTGTACAGTAGCGTGTTTAACCACCTTATATTTAACCACCCGGCTGGTCAGGGCAGTTGTCACCCTAGATGGAAATGTGCAAACATCATTGTTGTTTTTTAACATTTTTGGCCTTTTTGTCTATATAGTAAAAAATAATTTTTTATTCAATACGACCAAAAGAAAGCTCTATCTCAAAAAATGATATAAAATTAATTTGGGTCCACTATTGCATGAACGAGTAATTGTCAGTCAAACTATCAGCACTGAAAATGAAAAATGGCCTGGATAGGAAGGGGGTGTAGCATGCTGGTATTGATGTATACTGAGGTGAAGTATGGGGACCCATGTTATAATGGAAAGACAGAATTTAGTGCTTCTGCTTAAAGTTAATAAATATTTTACCGTGTTCGTGTGCAGATGTGTCTCATACACCAGGAACTATTGTTAGCTCCAAGCATTCCACTTCTATTTGTGTCTTCATAGGCAACTCCAACCCTGTACTCTGCATTCTCATCCACTTCCACTTCCCAGTAATGCTTTCCTTTGAAGGGTATTAGGTTTCCCAGGACAGCAATACATCTGCAAAGCGGAAAAAATATATATTTCTATACTGTATGTATACAGAGCTGACATGTTCTGTGGATTAATACAGAAAACACTGAATAAAACTGTCTTGCAGACACATGAACATTAGAGCCAGTTGTCACAGACGTTAGCTTTTTGGGTTATGTCAGGAAAGCAGACCACAAGTAAGAAGCTCACACAAATGTGGGGAGAACATACAAATGTCATACAAACAGTATATGAGGACATACAAACTCCATGAAGATATGTGACTTGAACACAGGACACAAGTACTACTGATTTCTATCGCATTGAATTTAGAAGTTGTGGGCTTATTTGAACTTGATCTTTAACTGATGACAAAATAATACTGCAGGAGATCACAGTGTTTGGAGTGGGCACTTATGGTTTAAACCTGTCCTTACTCTAACGTCACCTGTGCCCAATGGAAGCGGGTTAAGCATGTGTGGATTCTCTAGGTGATGATAAAGAACCACCTCCAACCAAGAGAAACATTCTTTATCACTAACTTTGTGTTAACCACAGGTCAGCTTAGTCACATGGGAAATTGTGAGGATAGGTACATGCTTTACCACCTATTGTTCAAAGTAAAACACATACCAGTCTATTGGCAACCTTAGTTTTGTACAGACATGTCCATGGAGCCTGACTAATCTCAGGGTAATAAAAAGTCAGATTGGATTTCCTGAACAAGTACCATTGCTTCTTCAAGATAGGGGCAGCACCAGGGGTCAATGCATGTGCCTTTGGTCAATTTCTTTCAGGGGTTAAATCTTGCAACCATTATCTTATGTCAATGTGAAGCCTTACCAAATACATTATTCTGATCTAATAGGTTACAGGTTCTTTCTCTGGCGGTGGTATATAGGAAGATTGTGAAAAAAAGGTCTGCACCTGCAGTAGAACTGTATAGATGTTCTCTTGGTGTTGACCCTGTGATGTTATGGTTAAAGCCTTTGATTTGATCCCACCTGCCTCTCATTATTTGACTGGTTTGGTTCTGATCGAAGGAGTGCTATTTCCATGCAGATAATTTGCCTCTTTGTATTAAGCACTTTTTTTTTAATTGTATTCACAATGGTTTTTTATTATTACAGGTATTTATATAGTGCCGACAATTTACATAGCGCTTTACATGGTGTACATGCACATCAGTCCCTACCCTCAAGGAGCTTACAATCTACGGTCCCTATCTCAATGCATACGTATGAGGGAAAATTTAGACAGCAGCCAATTTACCTTCCAGCATCTCTTTGGAGTGTGGGAGGAAACCAGAGTACCCAGAGGAAACCCACGCAAGCACAGGGAGGACATGCAGATAGTGACCTGGCCAGGATTTGAACCAGGGACCCCCAGTGCTGCAAGGCAGAAGCACTAACCACTACACCACTGTTTTTCTTCTTAATATAATGTTAATAAAGGTATTGAAACAGAAAAAAAGTCTACAAAAGTTCTGATCACTTGGGAAATATCAAAAACACTGGTACTGTTAAATTTCTAGCCAATGGTGCCACATGAGAGCATTCAGATATGAAGTCTACCAGTGGACTGAGGCGTATGGTCTTAATTAGCCCATGCAGAGAGAAGGTGAGGTGTGCAGCACACTCCTGTCTGATCACTATTCATTCCCACAAGTCCCAGTAGTGTCTGCAGCACATTGGATCCTCGTCCAGTCTAACTGGATCGGACATCCCTCATCTCATGTCAATGGGTATCTTCATGCTGTGGAATGTTCCACTACTTTTTCACTCTCTATACAATACCTTGAGAAATTATTGCAGTGATAAGGTAAATCCTCTAGACTTTCCTCTTCTTCACAAGAGATTGTGGATCCATTATCAGAAATAGAGAGCAGTGGATGTGCAGTTTCTTCATTAAGATAGAAATAAGTACCTAAACAGATAACACAGGTTTAGACTAGCTAAAATATTTCACATTAAGCAGGAAATGAATGACAGAGAATAGCCAACCATCAGGAAAGTTTCCGACATTCAGGCAAGTTTGGTGCAAATCGGCATATATGGCAATTTCATTAATATTCACAGATCATTTAAAGTTTTGTGGAAACGAGAAGACTTGCCATTGCCTACAATACAAGTAATTGTAATATTATAATTCACTATATATCAGCTGTGTGGTGGCTAAATTATTCTGCAAACACATCTAAATGAATCTTTTTAGGTTAATATGAAATATGAAATTGGAATATATTATATTTATTGTTTGCCTGGAAAAGACTTGCTAAAAAAAAGCTTGCTGTTTTTTGGAGCCCAAAAGCTCTGATTACACATACAGCTGTATAAGTCAGAGAAGTGACTCATCTCCTTTTCCTGTCCCTCCTCCATACAGAGTTTCAAGTAGAGAGACATAGTCTGAAAGCAAACTGCTTCTGCTCTGCTATCTTTTAAAAAATCCAATGCTGTGTGTTTTTAGGGTAATGAATGCACCGAGCTTTAACTTTTTGTGAAGAGAGGTGTCAGTTAAGGTTTGTAAGTTAAGGCTAGTTGGTGCAATGTTTTAATAAATGCTTAGATGTATTATTATAGGCTGGCAAATGGATGAAAAACGTGAGTGCAAGTGCACAGAAAAAGACACACAATAAAGTCATGTGACCACCATGGCATAGCTGACACGCTAATCACATGATAGAGAAACTTCCTGAATTCTTTGTTAGTGACAGTCTAGTCTGACAGCTAGCAGCCATGTTGGCTTCTAGCTGCCAAAGTCAGAAGAGAGATTTACAAATAAAGGGGCATTGTGCAAGGGAATAAACACTCACTGGCCAATGTATTAGTTACCCCTTGCAAGTAACTGTCTTCAGAACTGCCTTAATCCTTCATGGCATAGATTCAACAAGGTGCTGGAAACATTCCTTGGAGAGTTTGATCCATATTGATAGCATCATGCAGTTGCTGCAGATTTGTCGGCTGCACACCCATGATGCATATTTCCTGTTCCACCGCATCCCGAAGGTGCTCTCTTGGATTGAGATCTGGTGACTGCAGAGGCCATTTGAGTACAGTGAACTCATTATCATGTTCAAGAAACCAGTTTGAAATGATGTGAGCTTTGTGACATTGCGCGTTGTCCTGCTGGAAGTAGCCATCAGAAGATGGGTACACTGTGGTCATAAAGGGATGGACATGGTCAGCAACAATACTCAGGTAGGCTGTGGCATTAAAACAATGCTCAGTTGGTACTAAGGGGCCCAAAATGTGCCAAGAAAATATCCCCCAAACCATTACACCACCACCACCACCACCCAGGGGCGTCACGAGGCTGGGTGACACCCGGAGCGGTAACTGAGTGTCACCCCACCGAGACGTCACTGCGCGCATGTGCGATGTCGTCATCGTGCACACGCGGCAGTATTCTGATACCTGCCGGCTGCCATCTTGGTGATGGACGCCGGCAGAGAGAGGAGGGGACAGTCACCCGGCGGGATAAGGTATGCCGCCGGGGTCCCCTCCTCTCTCCTGATACTGTCGGGCGTTTGGTCAATGACCGAGCGCCTGACTTTTCAGAGGGGGGTGACACCAAAATGACTGTGGTCCATTTTGGTGCCCCCCTCTCCAATGGTGTCACCTGGGTGCAGGCCGCACCCCCCGCACCCACTTGTGACGCCACTGCCACCACCAGCTTCAATCATTGATACAGGCCAGGCAACATTATTCTAATCTTCTGTTGTCCAATTTTGGTGAGCCCTTGCGAATGGTAGCCTCAGTTTCCTGTTCTTAACTGCCAGGAGTGGTACAGTTATGGTATGCTACTGTAGCCCATCTGCTTCAAGGTTTGACATGTTGTCCATTCAGAGATTCTCTTCTGCATACCTCATTTGTAACTGTTACTGTTACTGAGTTACTGTTGCCTTTCTATCATCTCGAACCAGTCTGGCCATTCTCCTCTGACCTCTGGCATCAACAAGGAATTTTTGCCCAGAGAACTGCTGCTCATTTTCTCTTTTTCAGACCATTCTCTGTAAACCCGAGAGATGGTCGTGCGTGAAAATCCCAGTAGATAAGCAGTTGCTGAAATACTCAGGCCGCTATGTCTGGTACCAACAACCATGCCACGTTCAAAGTCACCTAAATCACCTTTGTTTCCCATTCTGATATTTGAACTTCAGCAGATCCTCTTCACCGTGTCTACATGTCGAGAAGCATTGAGTTGCTCCCATGTGATTGGCTGATTACATATTTGAGTTAAGGAGCAGTTGAACAGGTATACCTCATAAAGTGGCCAGTGAGTGTAGAGTCAGGAATGGGGTTAAATGTTATCTTGTAAAATAAACATTTTATATAAATATAACAAAGATACCAAATATCAATTTATAAAATGTACAAAGTTAAAACAAATTGTAAAACAGAGTTGCCTACAAACTGTTAGGCTGGGTTCACACCTAGGCGTATTGAATATGCCCGTCTGTCGCCGCGGTTTTTTTACCGTGATTCGCGGTAAAAAAAACTCGCGACAAACGCGCGTTTCCGAGGGCTACTTGGCTGTATCCCAATGGAAACGCCCAACAAAAACGGCCCAAAGAAGTACATGTACTTGTTTGGGCGTAGGCCGTTTTGTAGGGCGTTCAGACGGGCGGAAATACGGAAAGGTGTGAACCATACCCATAGAAAACAATGGGATTTTCATGTTTGTACGTTTTGTAAAGCGTTCATAGAGCCTTGAACGCGCGACAAAATGTAAAGGTGTGAACAGGGCCTTATAGTATTCCTTTAAGGTTTCAAAAGTTCTTTATTTTTAATGATGAAAGCATACTTTCCCAATAGTGAAGATCGCCATTGTGTGTGTAAATCATAATGCGTCACTGAATAACTTTAGAGATGAGGTCATTTGTGTGACCGTTTATTGGTTGGTTATTGGCTGATTTCATTGATTGTGCAGGTCATGGGGGAGTTCTGAATGGTTTCTATGGTTTTCTACACAATGAATGTGACAAGGTTAGCAGAGATGGATGTGTGACAATAGCATAGTAAGTGGCATACGTTGTCCTTCTCCTGAACACTGAATACCTGTGGTATGAATGGAAACAGACTTGCTGCTATCGCTCGGGCCAGCCACATTCACCGCTCTGACGCTGATGTGATACGTCTCACTTGGCTTCAGCTGGATGAGGGATTCACAGATGGGAATTCCGACAATACACCTGTGAAACAACAGTGTGAATTGTGAGTAGCACATACGCAGCTGACAGGCAAAGTAACAATTCCTTTAGCACTAAGAGAGTTTTCTTCAAATAATAGCTTTTCCGAGTGAATTGAGCTCTAATTTAGTGTAATTTGGTTAAAAATATAAACGTTCAGCCTATTTCTACATATGTAGCAGAGCTGTAATTTGGGCATACAATGCTTTTCCTCTCCTTATACTATCCCACCTTACAGAAGTCAAGTTCTTACATAAAACATGTTCAATAAAAGGATTTTTGCTTGTTTAAAAGGGGCACAATGTACATGTTCGAAGGGAAAAAAGAAACAGAAAAATCAAATATTTGAAATGCTTACCGGTACTCGTTTTTTCTCTCTATAAACGATTTGTAAAGATTTGGATATGCCCCTGTATTTGCTAGCAAATATGACTGCTTCTGAAGAGTCAACTTTCTAGCACAGAACCC